GGCAGAGTGGGGCGAGGAATGGGAGAGGACCATGCGTAGAGAGGACCCAGGAAAGGCCTCTCCCAGTCTAGCGAGATAGCTGCAAAGCCCAGCCAACCTTTGTACGCGACCCGGAGTAGCTGTGTCCGTAGCTGGTGGGTCAGGCAGCTGCTACGCCCTGTGTATCGTTCTTGTTAGCTAGCTCGGGTGCTTAGCAAAGCACAAGGCGCAAGGGGGTCCGGGACGAGCCCTTTTTTTTGATAGCCGTCTTGCCCTTGTTGCCGCCCTTGCCCTTGCTATCCTTGCCTTTGCCCTTTCCGGGCCAAGGCTGCCACGGCTCTAGCGGGCGCTTGGAATATAGCGCAAGAGGCATAATGAAATGCCTCTCTTTCACGGTCGTATCCTTCCAGGCCTTCTTGAGGGTTTCTCCTAGCTTGTAGCCTTCCTGGCCCACTTGCTTGTAGGCCATCTTGCGGATAGCCTGGTCATAGCTGAGGACCAAAGTCCATGGTGGTATCGATCCGCCTTGGCCCTCTCCAGAGCGTAGCCCATAGACATAATCACCTAGCAGATAGTCTTTGTATTTATCGAACACATCGGAGGTGACGTCCGATATCTCCACCCGGTTGGTGCGCCTCAGCTTTATCATAGCTAGGGCATTGAACATCACGGTTAGCCGGTGACGTAGCTGTTCCGGGCCCGTGGGCATGGACACCGTGGATGAGGCCTTCTGTATCGTGAGTGTCCCTTGCTATCCCACTGGGGTATCATGCTATCAGGGTCCACCTCATCTCTGCCCACCACCTCACTTAGCGTCTCAGCCCGGAACTCTCCAGACTCCAGCTCTGCTAGCTTCTTCTCGATATACTCCTTTGCTGGAATATACTTATCCTCGAGGTCTCCGAACGACGTAGCGAAGGACTGCCTCATCGCCATGTAGTCCGTGGCGGGGATGGGCTTAGCCATATCCCTGATCTCGTTGGACGCTTCTGCATCCGCCTGCGCCTTCACTCGTATCTGTGCGACTTGCCACGCCACCGTGTAGCTAGCCACTTGGGCCCTCTTATCCAAGGATGCTGCAGAATCTAGCGAGAACTCGGACTTCAACAAGTCGGCGAGCTCTCTAGCGGTTGTAACGAAAGCCGCAAACTTAGCCAACGTGTCTATCCCATTCTCGAATAGCTTGGCTTGGTGGTCATCCTTGACCCCATGGTTTGTTAGCAGAAAGCGCAGGTCCAAAGACCCTAGCCGCAACTTATCTGCTGTTGTCAAGGACATGGGAGGTCTTGGCCTCTTCTATCCCAAAATCAACACACGCAATTCGAGACAAAATCTAGCCGAGAAGAGATATTGGAAGAGAAGAGAAGGGGTCTGGATACCCCTGCCGACACTAGAATAGAGATGAGAGAAGGGGTCTGGATACCCCTATCGACAGCAAAAGGAGAGGAAGGGTCTGGATACCCCAAAGACCATATCTGATAGGGTCTGGACACCCCAAAAACACCTCTTCTATCTTCTTCTCTCTCCTTCTATCTTGCAGGCCCTTGCACAACACTTGCAGGTCCGACCTATCCTATCCAAATTCTTTGCATGTGTATCGGAAAAGGATTTTCGGTCGGAGGAAAACCTTAGCCTTGTTACCTGACCTTCTCTAGCTCGCCTTGGCGATCTCTAGCAGGTCATTTCGGTAGACTGGAAAACCATGTCCCCTATCCCGATAGCCACGCATCCGGACTTTTTGCAGCCACCCTTCCGTGGCGGATCGCTAGCTAAACTATCTCCGCACTCCACAAAGGAAGCATGTCGAAGACATGCGGAGGTGGCGTAATATCACGCATGGGCCTCGGTCTCGAGCTAGCCCTGGATGGCGCTTTGTTAGCGCTTGAGGTCCCTTGTAGCAGAGGGAGGCATAGCCGCGGCAGCCGCCGCTCTATCTTCCGCAGCTTCCATCTGCGATCTAGCCGCCTCGAGGCAGAGGCTGCTGCGATATCCTCGGCCCACTTAGCCGACTCTTCGTAATGCTTTCTATCCTCTGGCGTAGCCATCGCCAGATTCAGCAGCTCATTCATATCGTTTAGCTGGTCCGTGGTAGCGGAGGACCTCCATATCGACTCCAGTCTCTCTGGCTCTGAGGGCCTTTAGCATTATCCTTGTTGCATCTATCAAGCCCTCTCCACCCATAGCCAAAAATGGATCACCCACTTCCGGGGGTGGGCACCCCACCTCCTATCCAAAATTCAACACTCTTTTTCAAGCTTGAGCTTCAGCTCAGCTACCGGAAATCGCACATGAATAGGTAGCAGTAGCCCTGCTTAGCAATACAGTGTCAGAGCGTTCAGATAGATAGATGTCAACCGTCTTCTATCAGAATAGCCATCCTTCTAAGTAGCAGCGCCCTGTAGCAATACACCGTGCACTCCCTTGCATTACCCGACATGAATAGCTAGCACGCTAAGTAGCAGCCGCCTGGATTAGTAATACAGGGTAATAGCAAGACAGCGCAATAGCTTAGCTCGCATGTCAGAACTGTCGCGCCCTCTCCGGTTCTCACTATCCCCTCTCTCTGGTTTCGCAAGGAGAAAACAAAAGTAGCGCGCCCTCTCCGATTCTCTCAGGTATCAAGCACACCGAGAAAGTGCATCAGTATCAAGCTGACAAGTCGCATGCCAAGGAAAAACACGCCAGGAAAATCAACTGTATCACGTTGGCTCATGCTTGTTTATCCTGCACCGATCTATCCCTCCCACTCTGCAGAGTTCGGCCAGTCAAGGCTAGCCCCGTAGCCATCCCAGCCCTGCTGGGGGGTTCTAGCGGGAGCCAGCTAGAAGCATTATCATCCTCTAGCTCTTCCCCATCTCCCGACCCCGCGGGGATGCTTCGCTAGGACTATCATCACCATCAAAGGTGCCCTGAGGCCAACAGAGTCTACACACATGGGTGTACTCGATTTTATCCGGAAGACTACAGAAATCTCGGAAGCTTTTGAACTCCCGCTTTCTGCCCATCCAACACCCATTAGCCCCAGCTCTATGGAGCCTGAAGATAGCCCCGGGAAGTTCCACGATCACATATCGAGCGGCCCGGTCCGCCACCTTCGCTATCTTCGAGGAACTGGCTTGCACGACCTCCCTCGCTATCCTCCACTCCCTGCCTCTTCCTCAGGGATCGGCTCCGACTCGCCCGTTATCAAAGGCACAACATCAGCACGTATCATGCCGTGCTTCCAGTTAAAGGCCAAGGGTTCTACTATCGCCCTAGCCGCCTCATCTCCCAGCTTACGCCTATCCTGCAGCCAGTCTATCAAGTTGGCCGCAATCTCTCTCTCGTCCAGGGATGTGTGTCGGTCGTCCTCCCGGGCCGTGAGGGCATACTTGGCCTGTACCCTTGCCACCCGGCCTCCATAGGACCGGACGTAGGTATCCGAGTTTCCACCTACCCAAGATATCCTTCTCGGAGTCCGTGACCCCCAATATCGCCAGCGCTGTAGGCAGAACCGCTCTCTCGGAGTGCTCTGTCCAATATCCTTGGACACTGGACGGCAATCCTATCTTGGACAAGACGGCCGCTGTTGCCACCACTGCATCTCCATGGCCGGCCATCTTCTTCTCGAAGCTAGCCATATCCGGTCTCATGCGTGGGAGAAGGTAATCCCTCTTAAAAGGAGCCTTCTCCTTTATCAAGTCAAGCCTGTCTTTATCCAGGCTTGGTCCTCGAAGAAGGCCATCTCGCTGACGCACAGCGGTGGCTCTTTTATCCTCCGGTTTGGCCCCGAAGTCTTCGTCCTGCGAAGTATCGTAGCCAGGCGCCCCTCCTCGAGGCGTAGCTCCTCTGGCTTGATCGCCTGGACATCCGACCAGCGTAGCGAAGCCCAGGACTTCGCTAGCTTGACCCAGGCCCATATCCGGAGGCACACTATCTTGTCCGCACACATCACTAGACTCTCAAACTTGAACGTATCCACGTTGGATAGCGGGGCGCCCGCTTGGTGAGCGGGGCCCCCTCTGAGAGCATCTCGACGATTTTATCTGTGGTCGCCCACGCAACGCGACCTTCTGTAGCCTGCACCTCCATGCGGAATTCAGCTATCTTTTCAAACCAAGATATAGCCTTCATTATCGTCTCAGGCACTGACCGTCCAAAGGGCTCGTTCTTGCGGATTAGCAAATGGTCTACCAGGTCCACCGGCCTTCCGGAGCGGGTCCTCCCCGCTATCATCTCAGCAGCCCGGGCTGGATCAGGCTGCCCTCCAGCTTTATCAAGACAGGCGCCGAGCTAGCTTGAAGCTCTTCTCGGAGCTTCCTCGCCCACATATCCAGAAGCTTCTCCTCTCGAGCTTGGAGCTCTAACCCAGTTAGCTCAAGCTTCCTTATCTTGTCCCCTGGAGGGGGCGCCGGCTCCGGCGCCATAGCTGGACCAAAACGCCGTCTCTCCTGGAGACGGCCCCATTCAATATCGCTCGCCAAGACTCCTTCTCGCTTCTCGCGGGCTCGCGAGCATCTTGTATCCAGTCAACGATAGCAGATAGCATCCTCCAGCTCCTGGCCTGGAGTGATATTTAGCTCAAAGGCTATCTGCCTGGCAATATCTCCGCTATCGTTGATATCCAGCAGAGTAGCCATTTCACGGGGGCCGAAGCCTACCAGATCATCTATCTAGCAGATCGCTCATGGCAGCGCGGATCTTAGCCGCGTTTCCTTTCCCCAGCACTCAAAATTTGCCCCCCCCCTCTGAGGGGGTCTATCATCCAAAATGGCCACGATATCATGCCATTATCATGGATGCAACTACCATGAACATGAAATACTTCATGAAATATCATGAAATCACGGTAACGCAAAACACCTTCGATCGTTTTGCAAGAAAGGTTCTTTGCTAGCACACATTATCGTAACTCGTCCCTGGTCACGAACACGTCTCCGATCACAAGGGAGGACATGGATGATCTTCACGACACTGAATCGGCATTGGAAGAAGGTTTGATTGCGAGAGGCTGCAAGGGGGTGGTGTGATTGGGCACTCGCGCGCACTGCTGTGCTTGGCATTCAAGTTTTCGTAGATTTGGCAGCTGCTTCGAGAGCCGTGTATGTTTAGATGGCAAAGCGCGCGCAAGGGAAAGCATGTGTGAATCTGGACATACTCCATCAGCAGCTCGACGCAGACAAAGCTCTCCTTGGTCGTCTGTTCGAGCTTGGCAAGGTGCTTGCCCATTTCGAAGGTGAGGACCTTGTTGTTGAAGAGAAAAGGGAGGCCTCTCTCAGGCAGACCTATGAAAGTCTTGAAGGTGGCCTTTCAGGTCTGAATCGGGAGATCGAAGCGCGTGTGGCCAGTTACCTGACCCATCGATGCGTGAGCTGCATGCACTTTGAGCAGCGCGCTGTCTGAAGTGTTTCTAGAAGAGGAGAATGAGACGATCGGTGAGGCGGCTGGCCGTATTGTCTCTATCATCGGTCACCAGCGCGCGGTTGTCCAGCATCAATTTGGGGCTGAGGTCGCAGCTGCTCTGCCATCAATGCCTTTTGGGACTGTGGCAACAAGCACAGCAGCTTGTGGTTGCTGCATCATCAGTTATTCTTGCTGACGCCCACTTTGCGCCCCTGGAAAGTGTTGCAGCTTGCCGAGCTCGGTCTGGAAGCTTGTGAGCGACACTAATTATAATTATGTGAAACTGGGGCGTTGCCATGCTGCATCAGTAGAACCTGGCTCCCACGTTCTCGACGGCTTAGCGCAGCTGCTCATCAGAAGGCCTGCGGCGTGTGGATGGCTTTAACTGAAACACGCTGGTTTTTCCTAAGGGTGAAAAAGCATTGGGGCATGACTGAATGCAGCTGAGGAACAACTGCCAGTCTGGGTCATATCTCTTGCTTTCCGCGAAATGCGTATGATATGTTGCGTTGAGGAACTCGAAGACAATCTTGCACGCTCGCGCGCTGAATGCCTGGCGGGGTACCTTGGCAGGTTTATTTGGTTGTGATACGTTCTAGGGCTTAGGGCCTGGGGTTGGAAGTTGGGTTCAGGGTCGATGCAGGTTTTGAGTGGGGCCACGATTAGTGATTATATAAGGGTTAGGGTCGACGGTTAAGTCAAAATTCCCATACGCCTTACCAAAAAAAACATATTCCCATCAAAGCCCGGACGCCAATGAACTCAACCTGGACTTGGCTGTCTGCAGATTTCCATTTCAGATAGACTTTGTCATCCATGAGAGGAGGGAGCAGGTTTTTGAGAGAGTCCGGCGCGAGCCTTGGGGTTGCACGTGGCTGGGGAGCATCGCTGCCCGCACGCAGGCAGTGGTCCTGCCTTGGGATCAGGCGGAGGCGGGGCTGGCCCAGCCTTTGGCTCAGCTGGGGGAGCATCTCTGTCCAGCATCTCTGCCGCAGCTTTGGCTTTGCCGACCTTGATCACTCCTTTCGAGCACGTTGCTCCAGTACGCTAGCTGCCTCCTTGAACACGGTTTAGAACTGCTGCTGGCTTTCATGGTCCGTGCTCTTCAGGAGGTTCAACATCTCTTCAGGGCATGAGCCATCATCCATGTTCTGCTGATCCTCATCCTCCTCATCCTCGGGGACCTGTTCTCTAGCCAATCGTCTGCGAACTCTAGCCTTTTCCTCTTCAGAGACGGAGTCGCCAAAGACCTTGTCCAGGAGGACTTGCACGAGATCGATCTTGAGCACACGCTGCTGGTCTGGGAAAGGAAGCTTCTCGGCCTGCAAGCACTTCTCCATTTGAGGGCGAGTGAGGAACACTCTTGAGAGTAGCGCGCTTTTGAGCAATGACTCCTCGGAACCAACATGCTGCGGCATGATTGCATTCGCAGGCGCGGCAGGGGCACCACCACCGTTGGGATGCGCCGCAGCTGGGAGTCTTGGCCCGCATCATTGTTGAACACGAACACTGGAAGTCTGCTTCCATCGACATCCGGCTTCAAGTAGACCTTCACGGGCGCGAGGAAAGGTTTCTCTTATGGATTAGGTTCGATTGGGGCTGTGATCGGTTTCATTTAGGTACCCTGTTTAAGACCCTGCGCCTTTCCGTCTGTGCACGATTGCCTCCAAGCGCACACCGGGGGCGGTGTACTTCAAGAACCGCGGCTCAGCTGAGCAAAGAACCCAGCCGGTCTCCATTTCTTGATTGTCCCCGTGTAACATTTTCGAGTGGAAGCTGTTGCCACTGTCCGGCGAAGGGTTTCATACCTAAATATCCTTTCTTTCACATCAGCAGCACCCTGAGGGCGTATGTCTGCAGAGGGTGGGGTGAGCATTGCAGTCCCGCCATCCCTGGGGTATGGACAGATCTGCAAATTACGCCCTTGCGGTTTCCTGCGCCATTTTGTTTGAGGTTGATTGTCTCTTGTTTGTGTCAGCAAGCCACGCAAATCCGTCCGACGGATTTCGCGTGCCCAGCAGAAGCAAATATGCTGAACCCCGATTCGCGTAGTCTCTGGGATCTGAGATCGTAGTTGCACTGCTCGAGCTCTATCAGCATCTCCCGGGCGAGGACCCAGTAAAACGTGCAAAGGTCATCGATCAGTTCTGCAATCAGGCTTGTTCACCTCCCCGGTTCGCATGTCTGGAGCTGGCTCGGGGCTCGGCTGAATCAGCTGAAGATGGCGGCTGCGTTCGGTCAGCTTCCACGGTAGCCATTGCAAAGGGCTCTGCGCCACATGACATCCAAGCAACTGCATGGCATGACAGCATTTGCTGTTCCGAGGTGCTCAGCTGGATTCCTTACGCTGTGCTCTCATTCACTGGGTGGTTTCAGGCTTTGGGCTGCTCACGCGCTTGCTTGCGGGGTCTTCTTCTTTCTGGGGTCTCTCTTGGTTGCGATCGTGGCATCGTGTTCGTCTTTTCCGTGTCTACCCCTGTATGCTGTTGTGTGGCATTGTGGGTTAGCGTATTGGTGGTTGCGCGGTGGCTGGCATTATACCGATGCGGGCGGCGCAAGCCTTGCTTGAGCCCCCGCTGGGTGCCTCATGTCTGGCCATGTGACCGCGCAGGCGCCAGACTGCCTTCAAGATATTAGTGCTCCAGCGCAGCTCCGGGCGTCTTGCCAAGATCGCCTGCGCCTGTCGCAGGGATCGCATGTTCCACTCGGCCCATGGCTCAGGGGTTCTCCTGTTAATGCCTTGCCAAGATCGCCTGCGCCTGTCGCAGGGATCGCATGTTCCACTCGGCCCATGGCTCAGGGGTTCTCCTGTTAATGCCGAGCATTTGCTTCATCTGCAGTTCCCTGAGGATACGGTAAGCGGCAGCTTTCGAGCGCGAGGCCGAGGAGCCTTCGAGAAGCCCGGAAGATGCAGAAGAGCCTTCGGCACGGTCCAAAGCCGTCTCAAGGCTATTCGCCCCGTTCAAGGAGGAGTCGTGAGGGTGGGCGGCCCCCGCCGCACAGGGCTGCTGGCGTGATAAATCTCCCGTACGCCGTGAGTTTTTGGTCAATGGAGCCTGCTCCCAGGAGCATCCTGCGGTGAATCGCGAACGCATTCTTCGCTCGCCTCGAGATCTCGCCCAAAGCAGCCGCCACTTCATTTTTCAGTGCGACTGGAGCGCCAGCACCCTTTGACTTGTTGCCCCCCCACTTGCAAGGTTCCGCCGCGCTAAGCTAGCCTCAAGTCGCTCCGGCAGGATCTGCAGGTACGGCCTACGCAGGGTCCATAAATATATGTCGTCCTGGAACCCTGAGCCATGAAAAAGCCTTCTTCTTCTTCGGATTATGCCCACCCTTACGGGTGAGCCGAGGCACAACCTCGAGCCCCGCAGGTTCGAGATCTGGGCGGGATCAGAGTTCCCCGGGTCGTATCCGGCGCCCTTCTCCTCGTCCCTGCGGAAAAAGGTCGGTAAATCGAGCCGAGGAAAGGTTAGCATCTGGAGACCAGAAGCTTCCTAGTTGTCAAACATCTCCCTTGGTCTCCACATACCCCTTGCATCTCACTGCTCCGAAGAAATTGCGCCTCACAGCTACGCTGCACACTCAGCTTCCCTGGGTCCTCACGTTCCCACCTGTCTGGCTCCTATATGCATTTGTCACACTGCTGATTTCTACCAGTTTGCAAGCCGAATTTTTGCGCATTCACCTTCATGTCGTCTTCGACTTTAATTCCACGCTTCCTACAACAAGGACAAACCGAAACCGTTCCTCGCAGAGCTCCATCCAAAGCATCCCCAAAAACCCCCTTAACCACCCCCATTCCCTTGTTGCGGGTATTACGAATTTGCATGATATCAGTAGGGTCACGGTAACCGACTTCCCCACAAGCTGTTGCCGCAGGGTCCTCCGCGGCATGCCGAATTCTACACTCCCTTCTCACATGAACTTCCTCTGTAGCAGTTTGGCTCGGTGTGTTTTGCAGTTGTTTCCGCATTGTACCAGCAGGCTCGGTATGTTTCATCTTCCATTGTCTCTGTACTTTTTCTTTGCAGTTCTCATGCACTTTCGTGGTCCACCGAGACTTCCTCAACAAATGTCCGCATGCTTGACATCACCAATTCTTCTTCCATGTGCTCGGTCAACGACTGCAGTTCCCTGGCCAGTATCCTAACTTCCACAATGTGGGGTTCTCTCTTGCACTCATTCGCAATAATCAGGGTGAAATACTTTATTTGTTTAAGAGGCAGCTCCCGCGGGTCCTCTTCGTTCCTGGAATTGCTTGCTTTGGGCTTCTCCACCGGCTCAGCTGGCGGTGCATTCCGGCGCCATGCCCAATTTGTACCTGCATCTGTCGGCGTATGCTGTGCTTGCTGGTTTTTCGGCGCTTTGCTCTCCTGTGTCTCCTCTTCATTCTTGTCTCGCCGCGCCTCCTCTTCACCTTCCTCCTGGGAAGAGTCCAGTGTATTCCTTGTAGGTGAGTATGGGTTCTCCACCTTCCAGTCCGCACTTGCATCACTTGGTTCCTCCTCTAGTGATGGGTCTTCCCTTACCCTGATGGGTGAGGGGGGGGTCTTCCTTACTGCTGGTATCCTGCTCTGAACGGATGCACCCCTGTTCCTGGTGCCGGCTCCTTCCCATGCTGTCGGTCGGCTTCCCTTTCTCTCACGCTTGTTTCATTTTCTTTCTCTCGAGCTTCCTTTTCATTAGCCTGCGCTTCGGCCACCCTCATCCGCTGGATCATTTGCTGTAGGGTTTTTTCCCTCGCTGTTCTGTGCTCTTGTTCCAATTGTCTGGCCACCCTTTTGCAGCAAACCTGGATCGACTTTTGCTCCTTCTGGTGGCGGGACCCTGGCCCGCTTGCAGCTTCCCTTCTCTGTCACCGCACTCGGTGTGCTCTCTCGCTGTGGTTGTACCTCTTGAATCCGTTTCTCAGCTGTTTTTTCTTCTCCGGGTTGCTGCGATCGTGTTTTCCTCCTCTTCTTGTCGTCGACTTCCCCAAGGATGACCGCGACCATGTCGGGGCTGGACGTGCTTTCTTCCTCATTGCGCCGTGTCCTTTTTGAGCTGCTGGCTCTTTCCTTCTTTTGCAGGTTTCCTTTTTCCATGTTGTACTCCTTTTTCTTTCCACTCGAAGTCCTTTTGCTCGATGACGAGTCTGACGATCTCGGCCTTGTTTTTGTCTTTGTCTTCCTTTCCAGATGTTGGTCCTCTTCGGTGCTCCTCTGTCGATCCTCTGATTGTTTGGCTTTGGTAGTCGTCATGTTCCCACCTTGGCTTTCCCTTGTTCCTCGGCCCAGCTTCTTTAAGAGGTTCATACGGCCGTTTTTCCGTCCTTTGGCTGCTCTCTTCATGTCATCGATGCTGGCTACTTGTATGTACCGGTGGCATCCAGGCTGGTATGTATGGCTTCTCTTTATAGCCCCCTGTGACTCGCAGTTGTAACAGATCTGCTCCACAGCGATCCCAGGTGTCTGTGTCTTTCCCACTGCGGTATCGCTGGCTGAGGTTCCCATCTCCTTTATCTTGTCGTTGGGGGATCGAGGATCCGCTGTATCATCCTTGTCCTCACGGTCTGCGGTTCCCACGTTCCGTGGTGTACGGCAAGCGTCCATGCCTAATTTTCCTTTTGCCACTTCATGCAAGATCCCCGGAAAAATGGTCCCAAATCAACACCTTACGCCCAGCCAACTGTCAATTCCTTAGATTCTGGCAAACACGTACCACAGCTCCTTCAAGTGGGTTCCCTAAGGACTAGATTCTCAGTGTCAGTTCTCAGGTGGCTGCAATCTCCGCGGTGGGGGCTTATGCAACCGAAGTAGCCAACCCTCCTGCACCCCGTCAAAGCCGACACACGTCCACCTACTCGCCCCCAGGGATTACCCTTCAGGGACAAGATAGGCCGTTGCCGGGGTGCCCCCCCAACAGGGAAGGACAGGCAGGAGACTTGAGCCAAAATGGCTACGGATCTCTCTCTCTCTCTCTCTGCTTCTGTCTCTCGCACGCTCTTTCTTTCTTTCTTTCTTTCGTTCAGGCTGTGGGAGAAGGCGGGAGGCCCTCCCCCGGGCTCCAACGCCCAGCCCGTGTTGGGCTGCTAGGTCGGTTCACCCCTCACGCTTCTTAGGGTATTACCTAGAAGCTAGCTCGCACTCTCTCTCATTCTCTTACGGCAACTCGATCGACGTCAGCGCCGAAGGTACAAAATGTACCCCACTTGTACAAAAGACCTCAGTGGCGAAAATACCACAAAGAAGACATCTTAAGAAATCTCTTCCGCGCTGAACCGGGGCAGTGTCACGCCCAACGAGAGGTCCACCCCAGACATCTCACACAACCACGCCAGAAATGGGTCCCTTCACCTTGGCCTCCTCATCAAGCACAGGAATTGTGTGAGATGTCGGCAAAAATCATAGGAAAACCGCAAGCGTTCGCATGAACAGCTTAATTTCACAGAAAACATGGAAAATCGGAAACCCCAAGCTACTCTCCAAGAATGCTGTTCCCGATTGGCTTGCGTTGAGCATTTCAATCTGTAGCTTGCAACTCCCCTTTACCTGTACACCAAAAAACGATTTGGGCCTGACGTATGCAGCGTTCAATAGTAACGCTTGTACCTTTCGTGGCCCTGAATTTTGGTAAGTTACCTTTATGCTGCTCTATTACAACAAACCAAAGCTTAATAAACATCCATTACTCGGCCAACAAGCACAACTTCGAATGTAAATGTACGTTCCTCACGAGAGGAAAAACGAAACTGAAAAATGTGCATCCCCTGTGTATTACGCTGGGGGTAGCCGTTTGCTGGCCACTGGTTGCACCACCACTCTGAGCGAATCACGAAGTGGCTCTCCACGGAAGGTTCGCAACATGATAGCAAACCTTGCACAGCAAGAAGGGTGCTGCGCTTCTTCAATTGCAAACCTGCTTGCAACCATGGTGCTCGGAATCCTGGGGCTCAAGTCCCAGGCTCGGCAACCGTGCCCACAAAGACTCGCAGGTTGAACGGTCGCCAGCTTCTGATGCCTGGTTCGGGCCCGAGGGACAAAACCGGCTTGATGGCCAAGCTATCGATGAGCGAAACTTCCAGCCTGCAGCAGAACCGCCGACAGGGTTCGCAGCCGCGGCTTTACGCCTTTGGCCTTGAATCAATTAAATGGTTCTAGAAGCTTGCTCTGTACTAAGGGAAGCAGGAAGCCTGTGCTTCTGCCACCAGGTTCAGCGCTTTCTCTTGCGCACCACAAGCGCAGCAGACCCGAACCATGGAGGTGACTGCACTTTCCTGCATCAACTAAAAAGGCCTGCACAACACGTGGCAGCTGATCTCCAAAATTCGACTGCATCGTGTAAAGTTCCACCTATCTGAAACGCAATTTCAGAACTCGCCACCACCTGAATCTGGGCATTAAGGCAAATTCACAGTAAAGTAGGAGAACGGGTACTGCCCCACCCCTAGATTCGATACCCTCTGGAAGCGGAACGGTCGACGTGCTCGCGCCAATCCGTGGCCAGAACAGGGGCTGAAAGCATTGGGGAAGGAGAAATCTTTGTTGGCACTGTTCCGTAGGACCTGCCCTGGCACCTCTCCCCTTTCCTCTGTTTCTGGAGACTTTGTGTTGGAACTCTTGGCGCAACTATATTCCCGAAGAGGGCTGAAGCTTGCACACGCACTGTGTCCGCAAGACGCTGCTAGACGCAGCCGTGTTTTTTGTAGTCTTCGCCTGTCCTAGCAACGGCGTTAAAACCTTCACCGTTTGAGCTTTGAGGAGGCATCTTGGAGAAAATGCTCGCCATTGTTTCTGCAATTTATTCGTGGTCCATGATCGCACTTGAAACGACAGATTTGTGACCAACAAAATATGAGCACAAACCATTAACCTTTTTGGCGCATGTTCAACGATTTCTTCGTCACATGCCTGTCCTTCACTTGAGTCAACTAAAGAGATTGCCCATTCAACATGAACCCAAAATCCAAGACTTCGCACTCTCCTCTTTCAGAAACTGTCTTGCGGCCTCCGAGCGTTTGCACTGATGTTTGGCATGCTGCACATGCCAACAATTTTTAGTCATCTGTCCTGGGGCTTGCCACCATCCAGCTTAGAACAAGACCTGGCCCAGTTGCGGCTGCCACTCTGGGAACACCCATGCTAGAGTCTGAATGGCGCTCTGTAGGCTTCGAACTCAAGTAGCCATTCTCCTTGCCGGACAGCTGCAACTCGGCATTCTGCGCTGGCGGCGTGGGTACCCGCGGCCTTGCATCGCATCAACCCAAAAAAAAAAAACATTCCCCAAACTCAAGTCTCTTCCTCTTGCTGAAAGCGTGCCTTCTGGGCCAAAACGCTCAAAGCCTGAAAAAAGAAGGTGCGGGACTGCTCACCTGGAAGTCCAGGAAGTGACTTGACGTGACTCAAGAAATCCACATGCATCTTCAACCCAAACTGCTCATCATCTCTTCCAAAGCTACAACATCACACCGTGCGCGCGCGCAAGGTTTTTGTGTAGAACTGATGCAACCATGACCAGGTTGACTCAACATAACTTCAGTCAGTAAGCGCAAACCTTAACGTATGTCCAGGAGGGAATCTTCAACAAACCGTTGGAAATTGTGGCCAAGGATCTTTCGCTGGCCTCTGCCTCCTTAAGGATGCCCAGAACCTCAGGCACACACAACCAACACGTTTCATAGTTTTCTCAAAGATCTGCCTGAGTGAGGTCCGGCGCGTTGCGCAGTCGTTCCTCATAGCCTTAGGGAATGTCATGTGTTGAAACAACACCTACAACCACCTGACCTGCACCGACTGCGCAGACGAGGGGCCAGGATGCGAGTTCGAGCCAGACTTGTCAGTCTTCTTGGGCATCCTTAATTGCAGCAATCGCTGAAAGACTGATGAACGATTGTGATACTAAACCTGGTGGGGAACAGGAGTCCGAAACATGGACAGCATTCGATTTTGCCCTGCGATCCTTCTCGTGCTCCTCATGTGCCAACAAAATGCGAAATGCACAGGGTGGCAACAAAACGTTGTTTGTCTGAAACCTACAAGCCTTCTTTTGTTGTGAAGGTGTCTTCTGAAATTTTCAAATATGTTTTCTGAAGCCGAAACGGTTTCGAATTACTTTTGTTTCGTGGTGGTCGTGTTGCACCCCCTTGTCGAGGTCTCATGTAGCCGAATCCTCATGGCTTCTGCGTCAGGTCTTTGGTCAACGTGTCCGAGACACGAATAACAAACCTAAAGCGACAACAGCTACCAGGGTTTTGCTGACGAATGTCGCCCTGTCACTTGAGAAGATTGAGCATTGGCAAACAACTTATCAATTTTGCAGATGTGCTTTCTGCAACCAAGCCACTACTGACAATTGCGTGGCACCATACCACAGTTGCTTGAGCCCACACAATTCATCATGGCTGACCTGAAACATCCAATTCATGCACATGGAGCCTTCGCCACCGCCAAGTAAGCATGACAAAGGACCCGCACACAAAGATCACTTGCGCCCGCCCCCCCGAGTTCACTTTCCACCCGCCTTTTGAATACCAAGTACACCCCCCCGTCCAGCAACATCACAAACTGCGATAACGGCGCAGCACAAGCCCTTCTCAACATCAGCTAAATACTACATACATGCCCTCCCCCTTTTTCAAAAAATGGTTAGCTTTATGGACGTCACGGTATTGCGGTCGCAGCACAACAATTTTCCTCTCCAAGTCACCCACAACCGTCTTTGCTCGCTTGACCGGGAAATTTAATTTGGCTTTATGGACCAACATCATGGCATTGCGACAACAACACAGCACTACCCAATATCAACCAAACGCCAATCATGGACCAACATCATACTGTTGCAAATCATCACCTATGGATGGGTTTAGGGTGTAACAGGAACCGACCTGCTGTATAATGGGATTCGCGTAACGGAAACCAGCCGCCTGCAACCGTAACCAAGGCAAAATGTACAGTTGCAACCGCTTTCGGCCGTAACGGGAGCCAACGGAACTAAGGCCGCCTTCAACGGGACCCCGCTTGCCTCTGCCATGCATCCCCATGACCTAACATACGGTAAAGGGCGAGGAGGCCTTCTCGGCGCTTAGGCACAGTGACCAAATGTGTTTCGAACACCTTTTCTTGTACGTACCATGTGTGTTACACCCATAACGTTGCGTCTATATACCACGTCAAGTACTTTGCGACTTCAATATACGGGCAAGGCAACTTTGAGATCTGATTAAAACCAAGACCGCTGTGGGTGTCCTCTCTGGGAAACCCCCCGTGCTTGCGGCTGGTTGTAAGGATCCACAACATGGTGTGTGCGGTCATAAGGCGATTTGGTTGGGAATCGTGCTCTCCATTCAAACCCTGCATGGTCGAGGCGCGCAGGTGGCTGCATGGCTCCTTTTTTCTCCTGCATTCTTCCGCCCGCCTATGCATCCTGAGGCCACCCGCAACGGCGGAAGCGTTTCTTTTTTTTCCTAGGCGTGGCTGTCAAGAATTTTCCTAAGCGCGGCTGTAAGCATTTCCTATAAGCCGGCGGCTGAAAGGATTCCCTACAGCCACGCCGAGCATAAAAAAAACGTCCGGGGGCCCGGAGGCGCATTTTCTTTCCTAGGCATGGCTGAAAGGATTCCCCACTGCCACGCCAAGGAAAAAAAAAACGTCCGGGGGCCCGGAGACGTTTTTTTCCTAAGCGCAGCTGTAAAGGATTTGGTTATAGCCACTGCTGGAAGGATGAAAGGACCTGAACGGAATTCCGAGGACGCTCCACAACGCACCGAAAACAACGAGAAGGTCGCCGCTTAAGAAAGCCCTGAAAACCCAGGTTCTTTGAGCTTAACCTGCCTTGCTTCGCGCCCGCTGCGCTGTGCGGTTTGGGGAGACCCCCGAGGTGGGAGGGGGGTTGCAGGGTTTAGGGTTTAGGATTCAGGATTTAGACGCTCCACGCGCCAGCGTCACGACGTGCGGAACACAACGAGAAGGTCGCCACTTACGCCCAGAATTTGAATGACACTCCACGCGCCGGCGTCACGACGCGCCGGAAACAGCGAGAAGGTCGCCACTTACGTCCAGAATTTCGAGGATGC